CAGTTAAGCCAATAATATTTATGTTTGCTTTATAACAAAGGACAACAAATATGTTATCATAAGAATGCAAAATTATTCCTCTATAAATAAGTAGCATGTTCAAAATATTCTACCAAAGTAAATACAGCATTCAAAAAGAAAAGACAATGTTTTTTCAGATTGTAAAACTACAGCAATTTTCAGAAAACAAATACTGTTTTACCATATGCTGAATATACTTAAAAAACCACCAAATAGCCGGGCGCGGTGGCTCACGCCTGTAATCCCAGCACTTTGGGAGGCCAAGGCGGATGGATCACGAGGTCAAGAGATCGAGACCATCCTGGTCAACATGGTGAAACCCCATCTCTACTAAAACTACAAAAACATTAACTGGGCATGGTGGTGCATGCCTGTAATCCCAGCTACTCAGGAGGCTGAGGCAGGAGAATTGCCTGAACCCAGGAGGCGGAGGTTGCGGTGAGCCAAGATCGCGCCATTGCACTCCAGCCTGGGTAACAAGAGCGAAACTCTGTCTCAAAAACAAAACAAAACAAAAAAAAACACCAAATGTATCACTGAATTATTAATATTAGAATTTTCTGAATCTATTTTTTTAAATCCAGTTTTACTTACCAGTTAGAAAAACTAGTAATACGCAATGTCTTTTTTCCCCCTAAAGGATGTTTACAGGAGAATTCTGTGTTTAAAAAATCTACTTTTAATAAATTCCTAAAAGGAAGTTTTCACTTAAAAAATGAGCAGATCAATTAACATTCTGTAATTCCTTTTTCCTATAATTTTTTAACTACATATTTAAACCAATGAAATCTAGTCTATTACATTTATGGAATATCAAATATATTCTGCACCTAATTTTTAATTCAAATTCAACAAATATTTATTGAGCAGTCTACTACATGCCTAACACTACGCTAAGTGCAGGGGAAAAAAATAACCATTTTGCTTTTTCCTATCTTTCTCCTTGTCCTTATGGCCTATACATATAATCACTTGATGAAAAATGCTAGCAGGGGAGTACCACCCTAATTTACTACGCACTTGACTTTAAATTTATACTCAAGGACTCTAAACTCAAATACCAACTATGAAAAAGAATCTACAAGAATACGTTTTTCTGTAGGGCACTCATCACTGAGGGGTAAAATTTTTCTCCTATGCATCATGAAGGAAGATCCTTTTTCCATGTTGTTGGCAAAACTGTCAATCATCTTGATGAGCAGCAAATAAATGAATGCCCAATGATGGGATTCTGTATTATCCTTAAAAAAGAATCCATCAACTAAACATCAACAGGTAAATGTTTATACTCGACAGCCATCAATTTCAACTATCCATGCAAAAAGACAGGTGAGCTGGACTGGTAAACCTCGAAATTAGAGAGGTATTAATCGTCTGCTTCCAGCCAACATAAACAGATGTTATTTTTAAACAGGCAAAAATCATCTCTTCCACTGAAATTTATTTGCAGCAGATAATGTTCTGTTACATTTTTAATCAAGCAGATGAAGTTACATTTAAATTGAAAATCTGCTTCACTCAACTAATCAGGCAAGTAAAATTCAGAGATGATTGAATGGCATTACACAGCATGCTATTACGGCAGGTAAATTGGGAAATTTACCTGTCACACCACACAGGGTATTGTTCACCCACTGCATCTGCAACTTAGAAGCAAAGCACTAAGACAAAAAGGGAAAGGCATGTTAAACAGACTTATAAATCGGTCATATTTTATGAAAACATTATTAAGGCTGCCAGCAAAAATAAATAAATAAATAAATAATTGTAAAGAAAAAAGTAAAAAACACACACCACCTCTCAGTGAGTCAATGAAGATTTACATGGGTTATGCTTATCTGCTTCATGTAAATAGGATGCCTGGTTATTTTGAAGATCAAGAAACTAAAGCAAAGACGCAAACAGTACATCATGACAGAGGCAAAGAAATAATGACCACATAATATCAAGAATATGACAGTCAAACACAAGAAAGGTAAATAAAACACTTTAACAAAAAAGAGATAGAGTAAATATCACACCGATTTGCAAAATATCTCTAGCACTCATCATACAGATCATTAATTTTGTATCTAAAAATTTCTCAATCTACCCTATTTATAAAAAGCTTATTCTATTTTAGTCACCTATAGAGTTAGCAAGTTAACATTTCTAAAATGCCTTCAAAATTTACTTGAGATATCCACAAAACTCTAATGGGCTATTTTACTTGTTTCTTAATAGAAATCCAAAATTTACTTTCATATTTACTATCTGTAAATTCAAAATATGTTTGCTGCAATACCTGAATTTTGTATCACTGTTCATTACACTGTGAATTATTCCAACATGTACCAACACCACATTAAATCTTTTATATCATAACTATGAGTTTTATCCTCACAATAACCTTTGAAATATAGAAGCTTATTTGCCAATCATTGTGAGTTTTCTTCTTTCCATTCCTCCTTTCTTTCCTCTCTTTCTATTTTCCCTTCTACCTTCTTTCCTTCCTTTCTATCTTCCTCTTTTTTCCTTCCTGGTTTTTTTTTGGGGGGGAGGTGGGGAGGGGGATGGCCACTGGAGATGCAATGGGTTTGAATGGGGAGGTGGGGATAGAAACAGTAGGTAACGCTGGGATGTGTTCTAAGTTATAAAGGCAAATAATGTTACTGTTGTATTCTTAATAAAGTGAACCTACCTTGATTTTCCATTAAGAGTGATAAATTTGGACTGACATATCCAAATTCTCTCATGGGGTTCATAAAGATAGCCAGAAATCATATACTCATCAGCATGGTGTTTTAATTACCAAGGGACCATTACCAGCTAGGTTTTGGGTTAGAACAGTTTTAGGTTTACAGAAAAATTGTGGAGATAGTACAAAGAGTTCTCATAAGCACCAGAGCCAGTTTCCCCTATCATAATAGTGACATCTTACATTAGTATGGTAAATTTGTCAAAATTAATTAAATATTGATACCTTATTAACTAAAGTTCATACATGATTTCTTTAGTTTTTTTTTTTTTTTTTTTTTTTTTTTTTTTCTGTTCTAGAATTCTATCCAGGACAGTACGTTACACTTAGTTGTCATGTCTCCCTACGCTCCTCTTGGCTGTGACTGTATCTCTGACTTCCATTGTTTCTGAGGAATACTGGGTGAGATATTCTACAGAATGTCCCAAATTGGGATGTTTGGTGTCTTTCTTGTGGTTAGACTGAGGTTATGGGTTTTGAGAAAAGAAAACCACAGGTAAATTGTCATTCTCATTATATCATATCAAAGGTATATCCTATCAATGTGACTTATCTTTTATGTCAGTCTTAATTGCCTGTCTTACTGTATTCTCTCTTAGTCCCAGTCCTCCCCAAAACTGCATTTACCCTTTTTCTAAACTTCATAATCTCTATTATGATATACTACTATTCTTCACTGTTGAAGATTATGGTTGTTAACAGCTGCTCTCTGCAGGTATGGCTCAATGGGACAGAAGGGATCAAAGAAACAATCCAGCTGTACTTCCCACACTGCACAAAGGTCTTTCTGTCATTACTTACAGTTATTACTCTGAGTCTGTAGCTATTTCTGACCCAGCTCCTTGCTTTTTATTTTTTTATTTCTTTTTTGAGACGGAGTCTCACTCTGTCACCCATGCTAGAGTGCAATGGCATGGTCTTGGCTCACTGCAACCTCCGCCTCCCAGGTTCAAACGGTTCTCCCGCCTCAGCCTCCTGAGTAGCCAGGACTACAAGTGCATGCCACCACGCCCAGCTAATTTTTGTATTTTTTAGTAAAGACAGGATTTCACTATGTTGGCCAGGTTGGTCTTAAACTCCTGACCTCGAGATTCGCCTGCCTTGGCCTCCCAACATGTTGAGATTACAGGAATGAGCCTTGCACCCAATCTAGCTCCTTTTAAAGGCAGTACAAACAGAAGCTCTCAACTTCGGCTGACCATTAATACTATTGTCAGTGCCTCAACCATAGTTTTTAGAGGACCTTGAGTTCTACAAACTAGTTACTAATAAAACTCTTAGCTTATAATGACTTAACATGGTTACCTTTTCCAGTATTCCTTGTATTTGAGTAACAAGAAAGAATTTTTTTCAGGTGGAAAATAAAAAATTATTTTGGTAGATGTATTTCTGTTATTTCTTAAATCTGTTATCTTCTGTTATGTCTTAAATCTTACCAATAAGTAGCAGTTTACTCTATTTGTGGGTGATCTTGGCCTAGTTGGTTTTTTAAAAATCAAATTCATTAAATAAGAGAATTTTTCTACACTTGGTTTAATAAGTGAGACTTGAGTTTTATGGGGCCCGTGTCTCTTAAAGTTCTAATGGACCTTCTTTAGCTACCAAATTGTCATTTTGAAAACGGAGTGAAGATTAGAGGCAAAATTCATAAGGGATTGTATGCAAATTACATGCTATTTTATTTAGGTTCTTTACGCAGACTTTGACTAAGTTTTAAAGTTTTCGGGGCAGCTTCAACAGCTAGGAAAATCTGTTAAAATTGTAAATTTGTTGCTTTTGTCACCCTAAAATTATCATTTGTACTGTTTTCTTAAAATAGTCTTTAATATCTTTTCTTTTATACCTTCATTTTTGGTAATTTTCTGAACTTTGTCAGGTATTTTTACATTACAGACTGACTTTTAAACTTAAACATTCACTTTCCCCCGTTTGTCTTACACATTAATAGAAGGTAATATCATCTGGTGTATGAGTGTGCAAAATAATATTTATGGATCATTCATGGATAAGTTATTTTTAAAGGCATTTCTTCTTTAAAAAATTGAATATACACAGTTAGTGTCTTACAGTGGTTCATAAAATGCTTCCACCATTGGCATTTTAATTTTAGCAACAGTTTTTGTGTGAGCAATGACTTGAGTGAGCAATGTGGGCATTCTAATAGGGACTTGTGAGCAACATGGGCATTGCAGTACAGACTTGATTGAGCAACGTGGGCATTCCAGGAGTGACTTGAGAGTGAGCAATGTGGGCATTCCAATAGAGACTTGAGCCAGCAACGTGGACATTCCTATAGGGACTTGAGTGAGCAATGTGGGCATTGCAATAGGGACATGAGAATGAGCAACGTGAGCATTCCAATAGGGACTTGAGTGAGCAACATGGGCATTCCAATAGGGACTTGAGTGAGCAGCGTGGGCATTCCAGTAGGGACTTGAGTGAGCAAGGTGGGCATTCCAGTAGGGACTTGAGAGTGAGCAACGTGGGCATTCCAGTAGGGACTTGAGTGAGCGATGTTGGCATTCCAGTAGGGACTTGAGAACAAGTAACATGGGCATTGCAGTAGGGACTTGAGAGTGAGCAACGTCTGTCTTACAGACCATATGATCTGGCTAGCCTTTCTATCACATACTAGTATCTGAGATTAAATAAATTGATTTTTTAGTTTTGTTTTAATACTTTTGTTGTAAAGGCTATTTTTTGCCTTTTATCAAAAATGTAAAAGGTTGAACAACATGGAATTAATGTAATGGTTGAGTATGACAATTTTGTATGCTTCAGACAAATATTTCTTTAGCCTCATTTGCTAAATACACTTTTATTAAGGTAGACTAGGAACTCAGTCACCCCACAGATTGTTGCTTCAGTACAGAAATGAGTTCCAGATTTAAAAGAACATTTTATCACTGTTTGTGATGTTTTAATATCCTGACTTTTGTGGTCTTCTTGTTGCAATAAATAAATATGTCAATATATTTTGTTATATAGTAATATACATAATAATGTTTTAATATGTGTAAGTATATATCATATATTAAAATATATGCATTCCTGAATTAAATATATACATTTAAATATATATATTTTGAAAATCAGTAATGCTTCCAAATGTCAGTGACTGCCCTCAGCTTCTGACAGTGCTTAATCTAGCAGTGTTTAAACAGCATTGCAGTGTTCCTGCTGCCAAAATCATATAAGGTTCACTTTAGCCAAAGCTAAATTAGGGGAAGAACTGAAGATGTTATCGGAAGTCGGAAATGGAAACCCCAAAGAGTATAGCACAGCTATGAATGCTGTAAATGGGAAGACAGACAAGCCTTTACTTGTAGCAGTCAGTATAGAGATAAGGTCTTAGACTGGTAGTTTTCTGCTCTGGCTCTGTATTAGGATAACTTGGAGAGTTGTTTGTTTTTTTTTAATTTTATTTAAACTACTGAAGCCTCAATCCTACCCCTGGGAATATGATTTAAATGGGGCCAGGACAATAGTATTAATGGTCAGCCAAAGTTGAGAGCTTCTGTTTGTACTGACTTTAAAAGGAGCTAGATTGGGTGCAAGGCTCATTCCTGTAGGAAGAAACCTACTTGCTACCCTTAGGTAGCTTGCAAACAGAATTCAAAAAAGTCTGAGTGTGGTGATCTTTGGAAATTTTCACTTAAGAAAAATTTCTCATACTTATCAATAGCCTTTGAGAACTACGCTATGTCGAGCCAGGCGTGGTGGCTCACGCCTGTAATCCCAGCACTTTGGGAGGCTGAGGTGGGCGGATCACCTGAGGTCAGGAGTTCGAGACCAGCCTGACCAATATGGTGAAACCCC